CATTGGTGAAATGCAGTCTGTGTAACGTTAATGCATGTCTTATGAATAATTTATAAATATACATTTATTTTTCAGTGGAAGTAGAAGAATTTTTCAAGCTGTTGATAAGATTTTGACAAAGCCTGTGGCATCATGTTTATTGCAAATCAACATATTATAGTTAATTCTTATTTCGACGCGAATGCATTGCTTGAAATAGATGAAGCATGTTCTAGTATTGTTAATGAATATAATAGATCTGTTATATTGTATGTTTTCATAAAAAAGAAATGATATAACTGCTAAAAAATTACCTTTTTTAAAAAAAAGTGAAAAAAATGCGCCAAGTGCAGGCGCATAAGCGTCTTTTGTTATAAAAAAACTCTTATACAAAATAATGTTATTTCAATTTATTATAAAAAATTCTTATACAAAATAGTGTTATTTTAATTATTTTAATACAAAAACACTGTCACATTCAAATTAAACAACTGTTTCACAAAATAGTTGTTTTCTTTTTCTACAAAAATAATCTGATATATGACAAAAATATTGCGCCAACTAATAAAAATTTATTTTACAAAATGTATTTATTATTATTTCTAATATTAAAAATTGTATCAATAAATAGTGGAACATATTTAAGTGAAAGAAATTTTGGTAAACGTTCGGAAAACCCACCCATATGAAATAATGGGTAAAAATACCCAATTCTTATATATTTTTGCCTCCTGAACACAAATATGAAACTTAAAAATGGCGGTCGGACTCGCAAATCGAAGAAAAACACAAAAAAACCAATCAAACCCGGGTAAACCTTCGGAAAACCAATCTATATGAAATAATGGGTAAGAATATCCAATTCTTATGCATTTTTGCCTCCTGAACATGAATATGAAACTTAAAAATGGAGGTCGGACTCGCAACTCGCAAGTCGAAGAGAAACGCAAAAATCCAACCAAACGCGAAAATCCAACCCATGTCCGAGGGATGCATTTTTATTAGTAATAATTCACCCCTGGGATATAGGTTTAGGTTAGGTCATATCTTCCGGAGGTGGAGCCCCCCCGTAGGGGGGCGGTACCCACTGTGTCCACGCATATATTTTACAACGCGAAGCGTAGTACACCCCACAATTGTTGTGTGGATGGAAAAGCATGGGTTGGATTTTTGCGTTTGGTTGGATTTTTGCGTTTCTTTTCGATTTGCGAGTCCGACCGCCATTTTTAAATTTCACATTCGTGTTCAGGAGGCAAAAATACATAAGGATTGGGTATTCTTACCCATTATTTCATATAGGTGGGTTTTCCGAACGTTTACCAAAATTTTTTATTAAGAAAACAAATTTCAGTTGATACAATTTTTAATATTAGAAATAATAATAAATACATTTTGTAACATAAATTTTTATTAGTTGGCGTAATATTTTTATCATATATCACATTATTTTTGTAGAAAAAGAAAACAACTATTTTGTGAAACAGTTTTTTAGTTTGAATGTGTATAAATATACGTCTCTGGAGCAATTCACTGTATAAATTCATTCGGCGTTTATTATGTTATATATTCGTATGAACTTAACATGGAAGAGGTATTATTTAATGGGGAAAGAGATACTGTTTTTTTTTATCAGATTTTTTTTTCACTTATACATTTTCTAGCAAATTTGAAATAGTACGAAAAGTATAGTAGAATAAATAAATTCTGAAATAGTCAATGTATATATAATTGAAAGAAAAGTTTTGATGAATATTTTGTTGAGCATTTGTATGTTAATATTTTAGAGGATATTTAAATATGCATGAGAAAAAGTATTGCGTATGGCGCAGCATGCGATATCAATCGTTACAGATGAGCAGATTATATTCATCATTTTTTATGTACAAATGGGGAATATTTCAAAAGTGATATCAACGATCGCTATTGAGTGAGCAGCTTTCTGGAATGTTCGCGATTTTGCCACTGTTCGCAAAACTCTCGTACATTTTGGAATAAATTTGATAGGAGCAGACTGGGAAAACGTACATGGTAGGTAAACCACGACGATTGATAAGCGACCAAAGGAGATTTCGGTCCTCCTCAATTTTCAAACCTGTCACAGCTTATTCCACTTTAGTCCCTCTACCTTCGCGCTACTGCCGTTACAGAAATTCATTCTCTTTTGCGCCCGTAGTAATTTCATTTCGTTCACACCCGGTTTTCCACGGGCGACTGGTTGCTTGATTCGTACGTATTATTCCCTGGGCCGTGGTCGACAAAATTGTTTTTAAGAAATTGACTTTTCCGCCCGAGAAAAGGAACAATGCCCCGCGGAGGAAAATCCACTGACGTTCCATTTAATAGCGCTCCCCCACCCCTCCATCTTTTGCGCGCCAGAGTTTCCATTTTGAAAGGGATTTCAACAGTTGACGCCTCGCTTTGCCAACGAGATTTAATCTTGGACAGGAAGAAAAATGTTTTCCGCGAAATCCATCCGTAATAATCTATCAGATTTTAAATATAAAATCTTTTTCTACTTGAATATAGAGCAAACTTCCATAAAGAAACATGAAAGAAAGAGTGAGAGATGCAATTATTTTTTACTTTGTTACTTTTGTTACGTCCAGACTCGAGGAAGGATGAGTCGACGGAAGGGCGCAAAAACTATCTTTTATTATCCCGAAGTTAAACGTCTTGTGGCGTTTGGAATCGGATCGAACGAACGGACAGGTCTGAAAAGCAGGTAAACGACTGAGTCGCTATTACGCTGGTTATTCAGACATTCGTTCGGTGGTCCCTTTTCGGTTAGAGAATTTTATCTCTTTTACGCGGGATGGGACCAAGTGCAATCTTTCGACTAGGAATGAGTGGGGGTTTAATAAAAAGTAATTCTTTTATTTAAATTAACAAAGTATGAATTTATTCATATTTTAAAATAGATGATAGATGCACATGATTATATTAAAATAAAAATAAAATATTGTTGATTATAATTTCTCGGTGAGTGTACATGTGTGTGTGTGTGTGTTTTAGTTCGCAGGTGTTACATTAATACGGAGGACATCAGTCGGAATGCAAGGGAAAGATTCTATCGTTAACATTTAGGTTCTGACTGGTTAATACAATATAAAAATATATTTAATTAAAGGATAAAAAAAGATAAAATCAAAATCAATGTGTATAAGTAAATAAGTGTATATGTTAATAACGGTCAGAAGTATAAAATTGGTCTCTTGCATATGTGTTAGATTAAGATCAGGATTTATAATTTTCTAAGACTTATTACCGGAACGGGTTGATGATTTAAAATTTAAAAGAATGAAATGTTACGTCCTGGTGACTCCACGATTCCTTTCTTCCACGAAGTTGCGGCAATGATAATCGATCGGTGATAGAAATGAGTCGTTCGGTAAATAGAGCATCTTGCGTCACACATTCCTTAAACATTTAGTCACTTGTCAATATCTATATCTACGAGTAACCGTGGGAAAGACGCGAGAGACCAGTGACGAAACCTTCTTCTTCTTCTTTCTTTTATGGCTGGTTGGGCATTAGTCGCCCATACACCATTGTTTCTTATGGGTTTGTAAAATATAAGCAAAATTTCTCTAAAGAGAGGAGGGAGTCCAAAAAAAGGTCCAAACAAAGGACATACGCAGCGCGCAAAAACACGTCCGAACCCGACACGTCGTCAGTTGGAACTAGGTTGACGAAACCGCGCCGGTCGCTTAAAAATAAATAAAAATCAGTAGATACCCTCGCAATAGAAGTTTCCAGCGAAATAATAAACTGATACCGAAAAGATAATAAAATTCTCACGAAATATCTGACGAATACGACTAAATCAACAATGACGAAACTTCTGTGACGACACATTGAGTAACGACAGAAAGTAAGACTTTTTCTAATCAGATCATGTGAGTAAGGGAAATCTAGAGCTCAAGGGATTCTGAACTGATCACCAATCGACGATCACCACGAGTGAAGATTTGAAAAGTAGGAGAAACACCCCGCCTAATGAGGACATCGGCACAATTTTTAATTCATTGAAGTTTTGGAAGATTCTCACTCTTAGAAATTGGAATACACCCCGAAGAAAAAGATATAAAAAGAAGACTCGAACGGACTTATAAAAGGGACCACAGAACGAATGTCTGAATAACCAGCGTAACAGCGACTCAGTCGTTTACCTGCTTTTCAGACCTGTCCGTTCGTTCGACCTGATTCAAAACGCCACGAGACGTTTAACTTCGGGATAATAAAAGATAGTTGTTGCGCCCTTCCATCGACTCATCCTTCCTCGAGTCTGGACGTAACAGAAACATTCTTCGGAAAGTTTTGATTTAAATAAGAAACAATATCTAGACCGGTTTTTGTGTCGTGTAATGGTACGAAATTTAAAAGCTCCTCGACACATGAGAAATCGTTTTGTACGATTCGAGTACTCAATTGACTCACGTGTCGATTATCGGTGCTTTCATCAAGACACAATGAAAAATATGAACACGTTAGTAACAATCTGCATTGCGGTACACAATTTAATCGCTTTCCCACATAATGCTTCTTGATGAATTATGCAATGAATGAGGGGGAATTTTAAATCTCGCTGCTTTATTTGGCCGAAGAATCCAATTTTCGAACCAGTCATTGATTTCGCGCCATCAGTTATGATAGCCGAACATTTTGAAAAATCGATATTAAATTTTTGTAGGGTTTGTTCAACGGCTTTAAAAATGTCTAGACCGGTTGTTGTGTCATGTAAAGGTACGAAATTTAAAAGCTCCTCGATACATGAGAAATTGGTTTGTACGATTCGAGCAAATATACTCAATTGACTCACGTGTCGATTATCGGTGCTTTCATCAAGACACAATGAAAAATATGAGCACGTTGACAATAAATATTTTAATTTCTCTTCTATGGAAGACGCGATATGAGTAATTCTCGATGCTATTGTTTTTTTTTATTTAATGGAATACTAGAAGCTTCTGAAAGAGTTAAGGAATTTCCGAATGATTTGACAGTTTCGACAAGGCATTCTTTTACAAATTCATCTTCGGTAAACGATTTCGAATGTTTAGCGATAAGACGCCATATGGCATATGAAGCTGTAGCTGTTTTTGCAGAAGACGTAGCATCATTATCTATAAAATCTACATCAAAAATTGGACTACGACTACAACCTTCTCGATATACTAATTTAAATCCTTCTATTAAATTAGACTTTTCTTGATACACATATTTTGAATACTCCTTGAAATGCTTGTTTATGAAATGTTTCTCAATCACAAATTTTTTAACAACAGATGGTTGATAACCGCACAGAAGACAAATCGTTTTATTAAAAATACATGCAAAGAAACTATCTTCCCACACTTTATCATAATGTTGTAACGGGATTATTTTCGTGAGCTCGCGGATTCGCTCGGTCGTGATCAGGGCTCGTAGAAAGTAGTGAGACACAAGATTTAAATAAAATATAAAAGAATGTTATTTTATTTGGCTTCTATCGGCGCTGGTTACTAATACAGAAATGCCCCGCGGAGCGTGCGCGCGGCGGATAGTACGGTGCCACGGGCGGGGCGCGGTTGTTACGAATTACGCGAGTTTAACAATGAGATGCGGTATAGTATACGCAACGCGGATATAAACACGCTAGGTAGACGGCGCGTGGTCGGTTTGTTGTGACGGCGCGTGGTTCACAAAAACGCGTAAGTTGATTTAAACCGGCCAGACAGTTTCTTATGCGTCTATGGTCCGCGATAATATTTACGTCGCGTATTCCCAGATGTTGTGAGATGCGTGCGATATCGAGAAATCTCGAACGGGCAGCGAACTCGCTGTCCCTTGTTTGCACGCGGAGTACGGATTGACCAACGGGGTTGAGGAAACTTAACGGGGTGGCGAACTCGCCAGCCAACGGTCCGTATGATCGGGTCGGTCGGAAGTTAGACCGTTTTTCGAGAACTCTCGAGAGAAGCGGTCGCGGATTGCGAAGGATCGTAAAGCGGTTCGGAAGCCGAGAATGCTCGGCGGAGGCTGCGAACTCGTCAACCCCCACGTTCCGTCGTGTTTGCGAATGATTCGGATCGGATCAGGAAAGTCTCGAGCGTACAGCTCGAGCGGATTCAGATTCTGGTGCGATTCTGGTGCCGGGATCTAAAAAGGCTGCCGTTATATACCCGAGCGTCTAACGGTAACCGCGTGGTTCGCCCCCGGCTGGGGATAATGACGTGTTGTTTTTCGGCAGGTAATTAACGGTAAACACGTCATCTCCTCTGGGCGAAACGGCGCGGCGTTTTGGCGGGTGTCGCTCGGGCGTTCACGGCAGCGCTCGGCGATGCTCGGTTTTCCGTTTAACAGCGTAACGGCCGTACGGTTGTTTATCGCAACGGCGGTAATTAGCGTTTAAAAATGGGCGCTCGGCGCCTCTGCCCCTGCCCGGCCGGTGTTCGCCGGGCGGCAGACTTCCGGC